TGTGTAACAGTGGGTCCACAACGGCAGTAGTGAACCACCTTCTCTAAAGTGCAAGGGAACTTGCCTGCAGTCCACTCTCCGCCCGCTCCAAGAATAGCCGAACACGCTACTTGTCTGCAGCCTCTCGCTTCTTTTGTTCTTTACCTCTGACTGCATGCTTGCTGCGGGATTTTGGTATCGACCCAAGTGCTGCACATTGAGGATAGAGCGGGCATAGTATCGAGGTAAAACTCGAGCACCACTTCCCTACAGCCCTATTCCCGTGTGCTTTTGAACGGGGAAAGTGGATCGCTTGGGCAGTTTTGGTTCGCCTCACAAAGGACCGTCCTCGGAAGAGAGTGTACAGTTTGTCCGTAATAGGTAGTTTGTCCCTAATAGTAGAGCAGACTGAGACCTCAACTATGTTGTCAGCAAATATCATCCTTGAACGCCAATCTTATCCAGGCCCTGCGGCAGCGATCGGTCACGGCGTATCCCCAGCTGGACCCCACATGCGAGGGATTGGTGGAATTCGAATTGGTGTTGCTCCGTACAAACCCTACGATGGAGAACATGGTCATGGTGAGCACTTTGAGAGCAAGCATAGTCAGTCAGGTGGCGGGCATGTACCACACAAATTTTTTGCTTTACTGGACTCCGCTCCGGGTAAGATTACTGCAAATCCTTTCGAGAATCAGATTCGAAAATCAAATATTTTCCCTTTCCTTCAAGTCCTTGCCTCTACTCCAAACACAGGAAACTTATTCGACGCTTACAGGGAGATAGTAGCAGCACCACATTACGCCCGCGCTCATTTGATTCGCAGACTTCTTTTTTGGGCATAGTACTCTTTGAGCAAGCATGAAGGAGGTAGTATATTCGCTGCTCAAAAATACGTGAGGAAAGCGCGGCCCGTTCGCGACGAAGCCATGGCTCCGCCGGCTGGCCATTGGAGCTCCCATTTCCAAAGGCTGCATTGTGGGCCGGTTGTTTCACTACTCGCTCTGTCCTCTTCAGAATGGTGACAGTGAGCTGATAAAGCGAAATAGCTGATACCGGCACCTGAGAACTCGTACGACCAGCCTTATTCTCGCTTTCTGCACGTATAAGCTCGCATCAGCATAGGGTTCTATAAAGACATTCCAAGCGGGTTTGTTCTGCTCCTTGTTCACCACTGTGCTATATACCCCTTGTCATTAGGTGCTTGAGCCGCACAACGTAACGTGTTCGAACGCAGTGCGCGCCTTTAAAGTCAAACTGTACACCAAGCTCCGAGGACGGTCGTTCTGCGAGGTGAAAAGGTATTGCAATACCTAGCTCCAGTAGCGCTCCACCCTGATGCTGCTAGCCGACTCCGCCCACCATCCTTGAGGTGCACGTCTTATGCTCTTTGCAAGACCCTGTTTTTCTAGGAGGAGCATTTTGCTTTTCTCCATGGGCCTGAAAATTTGGGGGCTTTGGTGAAGTTAGCACAGCCATACAAAGTGAGTCTCAACCTTCTCGTTTAGAAGAGTCAGCAGGTCTTATTAGGGCGGCTCGGATAACCTTGCCCTATATTGAACCTTCAGCAGAAGTTAGGTCACACCAAGGTAACGTGACTGAAGAAAGTAGCGAACAAGCTGAATGCCCTCCTCCTAGCCCCACCACTTCCGCCCTCCCCCTTTTTTTCAAAGCCGAACAGTGCTGAGTTGACATGTGGGGTTAATGCGTGCTTACTAGGTCACTATCCGCCGCCT